TTCTTGTTTATGTGTTCTTTAAATTCACTGAATTTTTATCATGTTCATAATTGTTCTTTTGAGTTCCATGTCCTGTGTTATCTCTAGGGGATTCTCATTGTACTCCTCTAGAGGACTGTTGGTACTTTGTGGGGATATATTATTTTGATTTTTCATATTATTATTTTTTCTCTGTGGATTTCTTTAGCATTTTCTCATCCTTGTGTGAGACTCAAGCCTTCCTTTGTTGAGTTTAGGTCTGCTTCTTTTTGTAAAATTTATGTGCCTTTGTGGTTTACTTGTTGGGCATGAAAAGCTGGTTGGTCTAGGCTTCAGGTTCTCTCTTTTGATTTTACTTTGGAGTGGCCAAATTGCTTTTTTCTTCAGGAATTCCCACAGAAGCCCAAGTCAGATGAGGAGCAGATGCTCTCAGGCTTTCTCCTAAGGTCTGGATCCCTCCAGGAAAGATTTTGGCCTCAGTAATTTGGGGGTTGGACTGGCCTGGGAGCAGGGCCCAGGAAAGATGCTGATCTCGGGCAGCTGGTGGCCATGTCTGGATTCCTCCAGGGAAGATGTTGTCAGGAATTTGGGGATTGGAACTGGCCTGGGAGCAGGGCCCAGGAAAGATGCTGATCTCGGGCAGCTGGTGGCCATGACACTCAGAGATGCAAAGGGAGATAGGGGTGGGAAGCGGCCCCAAGGGCTCCTGGGGACCGCACTGAGGAGCTGGGTTGGTCTATATGCAAAAGATCAGGAAGCCAAAAGGTCAGCCCCAGTGTCCAGGAAAGAGGCTGGCGGGTTTTGCAGCCCAGGGAAGCAGAGGGAGGTGAGGGCAGGACCAGGCCCAGAGGGCTCCTGCGGACCTCAGGAAGGAACTGGGTCCATCTGGATGCAAGGGATCAGGAAGCAGTGGTGAAGGAAGGGATCAGGAGGCAGTGGTCAGCCCCAGGGTCCAGTAAAGAGGCTGGCAGGCTGTGCAGCCCAGGGAAGCAGAGGGAGGTAAGTATATTTTATTTATTTTTTTTATGAGTGTATTGCCTGCATGTATGTGAGTGCACTATGTCATGCAATGTGAGGAGGTCAGAAGAGGGTGTCGGATCCTCTGGAACTGGAGTTAGAAGGGTTTATAGCCACCCTGTGGGGGTTGGGAATGAACCTGGATCCTATGCAAGAGCAATCAGTGCTCTTAACCCCTGAGCCATCTCTCCAGCCCTGGCTTGAGCTTTTTAATGAGGGTTATTTCCTATTTGTGGCCGTAGACTTTTTATCTTTTCTCCTTAGCTCTGGCACAGATGCTCTTCTACTGAATTGGAAAGGGCTAATTGGTGTGGGCTTAGGTGGCCTTTGCCCTAGCCTTTCTTTACACAGTTCCATATCAGTCTTGGGTTGTGAAGTGTTGGTCAGGCATCTCATTCCTTCCCAGCAAGGGTGCTAAGGCACAGCACAAACTGGATTGGATTTTTCCTGCCCAGATCTCTATCTTACTAGAGTCCCAGTGGTCAGGCACAGTTCACTGTTCAACTCCAGCCAGTCCCACCCAATTAGCAGTGTTTTAGTCCCCATCAAACACAGTAGGTGGTTTAGTGGTGTCTGGTGACTCCAGGGCTTAAGAATTCAGGTGAGCGACTGGGCATGGTGGTGCATGCCTTTAATCCCAGCATATGGGAGGCAGAGGCAGGTGGATCTCTGTGATTTCAAGGCCAGCCTGGTCTACATAGTGAGTTCCAGGCTATCTGGGGCTACAGAGAGACCCTGTCTCAAACACACACACACAAAAAAAGAATTCAGGTGAAGGCCAGATGGTAATGCATGCTTTTAGTCTCAGCTCTCCGGAGGTGGAGTCAGGCAGATCTCTGAGTTCGAGGGCAGCCTTGTTTACAGAGCCAGTTGTGCAATTCCTAGAGGGGGATCACATTTTAAGAGTTTCTGAATCAGCCACGAATCTATCCTGTGAGGCTCTATGAACTTTCAGATATCTCTGTGATGCCTATGGAGCCACGGAGCTCCTCCAGCCCACATGTTCTTTGCTCCTACACTATGAGGCCTTGGATATGCCTGTTCTGGGCTGGGTCATGCTGCCCACACTTGGCCCCCATTTTCAGTGGTATGTTGGAAACTGACTCTCCACAGTGCAAAAACACCTACCGTTGCTGAATAACTACCAAACTGATGTCACTAAATGTGGAGTGGAAAGACACATATAATTGGCTCTTCCCTGGGAAGCCAGCTAAAGTCAGCTGTAAAATGTTTTGCACATTTTTTGCACATTTTTTAATTAAAAAGGCACTATGGTGGGTGGAGGAATTTGGAAAGGTGCCCCCTTTGGGTAAATTCAAGCAGCCTCCTTTTCTGCAGACTTGAACTACATGCCTGGTTTGATGAGCAGGTAAGTGGCTATAAATGGTTTGTTGCAGGCAAATGAGAACTGGGAGCTAAAGCCCATTAGCCACCTTAACAGTGTCTGTGCAATACACCACTCTACAGCACCACTCTATAGGACAGTCCTCACTCTGATTCAAGTCCACCTGTGCTTAAATAAGAAAAAACCAAACAACCACCACCACCACCACCAACAACAACAAAAAAAACCACACAGGGAAAAGCCAAGTTATTTAGCAGCCTGAAAACCATTGCATGTAGATAATCAGAGCATAGCATTACCAGCTGGAACATCAGTTCTTAAAATTAGCCTAATCAACAGAAGACTATTAATGTCAAAAAGAGCCTGCATTTCCAGCAGTGGAAGCGCACAGGAACCCAGCCTAGATGACCTGGGAGATAACACCTTTCCATTTAAGTTTATTAAATATATTTATCTTTAGGACCTTAGATCCTTACAGACATGATGTAAATATCTTAAAATGTTTTTTACACTTATTTAGTGTGTATTTGGCCTTGTGGAGGTCAGGGGACACCAGCAGGAGTCTCTCTCTCCTTCCACCACATGGGGCTGGGGCTCCAACTCAGGTTGTCAGGCTCAGGGCAAGCACCCTCACCTGCTGAGCCACCTCCTGGTGGTGCATGCTTTTAATCCCAGCACTCAAGAGGCAGAGGCAAGTGGATCTCTGTGAAATCAAGGCCATCATGGTCTCCATAGAGAGTTCCAGGCCAACTGGTTACAGGGAAGCCCTGTCTCAAAGACCCCCCCCCAAAAAAGAAAGAGTTCAGTACAATGAACAGACAATTTGACAAGACTATGATGAAGATATATTTTATTTTTCATAAAAATATAATTGTACAATGCTCTTCAGAGGAAAAAAATCCTTCAATGCCCCCCAAATACCATGTGGTCTAATAATCTCCCTTCTTTTAACATAAAATATGTAATTTGTAACAACATGCAGCTGATTTCCTGTGAAATATAGCATTTATTTTTAATTTTACTTGCCTTTTACTAATAGTTAAGCCTAGTTTAAAAATCTGTATGTTCTGTAACCAGCCAAATCAAATCCATCACAGTTCAAAGATGATAGAACTCTAGATGAGGATGCTAAGCGCTGTCTGCAAGCTGGCAACAGTGACATGGATTGCTGCAGTGAAGTGGTTCTGGTTCAGGTATCACACAAAGATTTCAGATGAAACAATTAAAACCTTCCATTGCAGCCTAGAACTCGACCTGGTCAGACCTACTGCACACTGCACCAGTTGCTCCAAGGTGGGAAGTAGATGCTAAAATGATGCCAGGATAGACTGGTATGGATTCACAAAAATATCTCCCCCGTTTTTCTTTGAGATGAAAAGGAAAAGAAGACAGGCTTTGTAGATGGAGAGCCCAGGGCTTTGTCCTCTCAGCATGCTGTCTAGAAAGGGAGTGGGTGGGTATGCAGGGCCCACTGGATGGAACTGGAAACACTCCAGCTGTTTTAATCAGGACAGTGATTACAGGCTCAGCACAGCACCCAGAGCAATCAAAATGGTCCCTTCAAACACCAAGGAGCATCTTTTGGTTTGACTCCAAAATACCAAATAGAGAGAGGCACATGAATAAACTCAAATTCTAATTAACTTTCCTTCCAAATTAAAATCCTCTACCCGAGGACAAAGTATCTTGTGGAGACAGAAGGGGGCAGGGAAGAGTACAGATGACCCTGCAGTTAGAATTATCTCCAGAAAAATCTTCAAACACAGTACAGACATTCCACTGAGGAGCCTTGTTCATTTTGGAATGTTTGCTTTGAAAACAACTCTTCTGGGGAACTCAAAGGTACTAACAGAGCAACATGAAGTCATGGGCTGTTTTGCAAAGTGAAAGTAAACAGCTGAGTAGATCAGCTGGGAAAAGCACACCCATTACAGCCTCAATACTGTACTTAAGACACGCACGTTGTGAAGGCCTGAATATCAGTAATCCTTTATCTACGTTTGTGGTCCTAAGAAGGCATTAAATACCCTTAAACTTCCTAACACAGAACCTCAGCAAGCTGGGCTAGTGGTCTGTCAGTGGTCATACACACCTAGCCTAGAGATCTGAGTTTGAGATCTCAGGCTAAAGGGAGGGATCTTCAAACGCCTGAACAATTACAAGCTATGGTCCATTCCATGTTCCACCTCAAAGACGCTATGCCAGAGTGTCTGAACCATGGCTTGCAGGCCGACAGGCCCCAGCATAGCCACAAACCTGGCTGAACACAAAACAGGAACTAACTTAAAACATTTCCAGATTTGTGAGTTTGTTGCAACACAAGTGCTCAGCTCTCAAGCTTGACAGTGTCCTACCGCAATGTCCAAAGGTTGCCAGACAAATCATAATATACTTCCTCCTAAACTGCCAATCTGTAACAAAGATGTCTTATTTGGAAGCCAAATTCAGGCTTCATCAGAGAGAGGAACAACTGTAGTATAGCAGCAACAAAGAACGGGTCTGACCCCAACCAGAGGACAGATAGGAGTGTGATGAAGTTGTCTCTGGGGAAGTGAAGATTCCCAGTCTGAGCACATCATACCAGGAGCCCTGTCTGCAACCATCACTCTCTGTGATGTAGATACAGCCGTGCCAGGAACCTCAAGGAGCCATCTGCCCTTCCACAGCCCTGCCAGGCCCTGAGCTACAGTGCTGGGGGTGCGCCAGCATAGTGCAGGCATAGGCAGAGGCCAATGTGAGCCCACACTGGGTTTCCTTCTGGCTCAGAACACATTCATAAGGCCACTCTTGTCAGGGAGGAAACTAAATATTCTGCCGATGGCTACAGCCATCAGCGTGACCAGCAGTGTGCCCAGTGCTCCAGACAGCAGGGCAGATGCTCAGTCTCAGCAGCTAGTTTCATGCTATTTGCTTCAGAAAGTCTATGATTTAGTTGAGTACACAGCACATGTGTGTGAACATTCACTCCTGTCTGCCCCATGTACATGTAAACATACAACAGAAACACTATGCACATACATACTGCAGGTTAAGATAATGGATGCTGCTGAAATGCCTGAAAGGTTACTTCCTGCATAAAATACAAGACTGATTACCCTCATATGGATTTGGCCCTGGCCAACATTCATAAACACCGTTTGAGGAGACAGCAAAAAGGCTGTCTGGAGGGTTTTCTTGTTGGGTTTTCCTATCATGTACATTGTTTCAAACAGGCAGATCACTCTGGATTATAAACATAGAAATGTGTGTCTTAATTCATACTCACAGCTTATACTGGAATGCTCACAGGAGAAATCAAACATTGCTCAAGTAAACGAAAGACTCAGTATCAGGTCCATAAAGGCTGAGAACGTACAGGAAGTATATGGCCTATCTGGTTTCTTTTTGTAGGGTGACTGAAAACATGGAAGGATGCGACCCTAAACACACATACATACGATTACATGAATTACATAAGAAAATATAAATTAGCCAAGAAAGCAATGTGGATAAGGTGCAAACATGCGATCTTCATCCATTTTTTCTACTCCCATTTTCAGGCATCACATGGTAACTCACGGAGAATACAGAGCAGGTCTGAATATTGGTAAGTTTTCTAAGTGTTGCAAGTTAAAGCAAGAGCCTTTGTGATGCTTGCCCACACATTTTGGTAGAAACTGCGGATTTACAGAGATGACTACTGAGCAGTAAGCAGTAACTAGAACCAGAAAACAAACTCCTCCCTGCATCATCCACACAGGTGAGAACACTGGCTTCGATTGCTGATGGCATCGTACAATCCTCACCCTGGAAAAGAAATCAAATTCACCAATGTAAGAACGTTTCTCAGGTCAATGAAGTTTGGTAGTTCTGAAATCCATGAATCTTTGTTTTTTTGTGTGTATAGTATGTGTGACAGTATGTGAACATGTATGCCATGGTACACGTGTGAAGTTCAGAGAACAATGTCAGGTGTTAGTCCTTGCCTTCCAGGAGACAGGTCTCTTGTTTTTCCACCGTGTCCACCAGGCTACCTGGCCTTGGAGCTTTCTGGAATTTCCTCAGCTCGAATGCTGGGATCACAGACCCACACTACTGTGGTTTTCCATGATTCTGGAGATTCAAACTCAGGTCCTTATGCTTGCGTAGGAAGTGCTTTACCCACTGAGCCAGCTCCCCAGCTCAACATAAATTGTTGGTTCTAGTTTTTGAGACAGGGTTTTATGTATAGCCCAGGCTTGTCTCAAACCCTGTATGTAGCAAAGGCTGACCTTGAATTCCTGTTGCCTCTATTTCTCAAGTGCTGGAGTTACAGGTAATGGACCACCATACCCAGCTAACATTCATGAATTTTTTTTCAAGTTAATTAAATACAGAAAGGCTTTTTGTTGTGTTGTTATGAGACAGAGTCTTACTCTATCCCAGGATGGCCTGCTATGATGGTCAGGGCTAATTGTCAACTTGACAGAATCTAGAATCACCTAGAAGAGTCTCTGGGTATGCCTGTGGGCAATTATGCAGACTATCCTAATTGGCATAGGAAGACCTTTTTTTTTTCCATCTTTTTGAGACAGGGTCTCCCTGTAGCCCCAGCTGTCCTGGAACTCACTATGTAGACTAGGCTAGCCTTGAACTCACAGAGATCCACCTGCCTCTGCCTCCCAAATGCTGGGGCTACAGGCGTGCACCACCACACCCAGCTAGAAGACCTATTTTAATTGTGGTTAGGACCATTCTCTAGACAGGATTCTGGACCAAAAGGAAAGAACTGAGCATTAGCATGCATGCATTCCCTGTTCTCTGCTTCTTAACTGTGCAAGGTCCCACTTCTGTGAGCGAAAGTAAGCCCTTTATCCCTTAAGTTGCTTGTCTGGGTATTTCAGCACAACAGGAACGAAACTAAGATGGTAGTCCAGGCTGACCATAAAATCATAACAGTCTTTCTGTCTCAGCCTCCCAAATGCTGTGATGACAGGCATCGAGTCACCATGTCCAGCTAGACTATTTTTAACACAAATAAAGAGAAAATGAGCTAATTTGTTTTTTATTAGTTTAATTTAGATTAAGGTCCAATGTTACCTAATAAAAGTAATCAAAAAGCCAATTCCTTCAACTCCCTACTCTCTTTTGAAACAGAGTTACATATAGCTCAGGTTTGCCTCAAATACGCAAGTAGCTGAGGATGGACTGTCCTGATACTCCTGCTTCTACCTCCCAAGTGCTGGGTACCATATCTGGCTTAATTTTTTAAAAATATGGTAACAGTTCCTTATAACTATTTTAAGTGCTTCCAGAGTAATAACAATAATGAAGGAAACACCTGGCATTTTCATCCTTAATCTCTGAGTGATTAACTATAGGCATGCAAAAATCTTTAGTCTTTTCTACAAATGGGGCTACCTATGTGCAAGACATGAGTTCTACCCCAGAGCATAAGGAAAAATAAGCTCATCATGGGCCAACAACAGAAACCAAAGAACTAAAAATCATAAAATTCTTAGTTGAAACAGGTACATTTTCACAACCCTGGATTTGAGAATGGAGTTTTAGATATGATACCAAAAACCTGAGCAACAAGCTGGGTCTGGTGGCACATGCCTTTAATCCCAGCACTAGAGGCTGAGACGGGCAGATCTCTGTGAGTTTGAGGCCAACCTGGTCTATATAGTGAGTTCCAGGCTAGCCAGGGCTGCATAGGGAGTCCCTGTCAAAACAGATAAACAAAAAACCCCTCAAGAACAACAAAGCATTAACAGCAGCAGAAGATAAAAAGGAGATGAGGGGCTGAAGAGATGGCTCAGCCTTTAAGATGGAGTCAAGAGGATTAAACATTTCATGGTTTCAGGATTCTCTTTTAAGGTGATTACATATTCTATAGAGATGATAGCTATATCTAATCACACTGTGAATATACTAAGTGCCTTTGCATTGTTATTTTAAAATGGTTAATTGAAGTTGTTCATTTTATGTTACGTGATTTCACCTCAACAACAACAAAATCCTGGGCTGGGGATATAGAGTGCTTACCTAGCATGTGTGAAGCCCTGGGTTTAATTCCCCAGCACTGCAAAAGAAAACAAACATCCTTACAGTAATGGCACTGTAATAAAAGAGCCTGGACAGGTGAATGGGCGCTACCATTCCACTTAAGTGACCCTTACCCAGCTGCTCTATTTTTTTTTTAATTGGGATTGAACCCAGAGCCTTGAGCATACTAAACTTACACACACAATATACTGCTAAGCTACCACATTCCAAGCATTATAATTTTTTTCTTTGTCTTTTGAGACAGGTCTATAGCCCCAGCTGGCCTGGAACTTGCTATGTAGACCAGGCTGGCCTCAAACTCAGAGATCTGCCTGCCTCTGCCTCCCGAGAACTGGAAGAATTATACTTCTTTAACACAATTATTGGAGTAAATAAATGTAAATTACTTTGTAAGCTGTAAGTAAAAATACAAACAAAAGGTAGTGGTACTAATAATAACTACACTAGTGCCACTTTAGTTTATGGACTATCTACCATATACTTATCAGTTGTCTATTTTGTTTTGGTTTTTGACACAGGGTCTTTTCTATGTAGCCCAGGCTGGACTCTTAACTTGCAGTCCCTCCAAGTGCTGGCTAAAGTGGTATATCCCACTACACCCAGCCTTCAGTTGGCTTTATAGACCCCATGTAAAATGTATTTCAGTGTTTAAAATCTACTGCCACTTCACTTGCTGATTAATGTATTACAAATGACATGAGCATTTCGTTTTATTCCATGACACTCCTTAGTGATTAACAGAAACTCTATCTTGAGATGCTTGCTTAAACAGGGATTCTCCCAGACTGTACTCACAGGAATTGGTATTAGCATCTGTCTTCCCAGTTTTGGGATGCCTGCTTGAGTTCTGCTGAGATTTGTTCTGCTCTTCTCCAGTGAGTAGGGCCTTTATTTCAGAAGGGATTTTTCCTTGGTCCATTGCCATGCACCACTGCTTGTACTGAAATATTTAAGATATACTTAAGTAAAACATTAACAGAGTTCAGGGACCACATGTGGAAATCTTAGACATAAGAACTCTCACGAAGGCTGGAGTGTAGTTCACTGGTAGAGCACTTGCTTAACATGCATAAGGCCCTCAAGTTTTGATATCCAGGACTAGGACAAAAATTAAAGTCATTTTATCTCATACACATTCACTAAATAGCTACTAAGCAGTAGATTTGCACACCATGATTACATGCCTGGTTTTAAGCAAACACATTCTACCGCAGTGGGTATGACTATGGACTTTGGGGGTCCACAAAGGTGAAGCAGACCAGATTCTGACCTCAAGTGACTTATACTGCAGAAGGTAAAAATGACTTACAATATAATCAGAATTAATGTGTATATGGACATCTTTCTCAATCACTCTTCACCTTAATTACTGAGACACGGTCTCTCACTGAACCGGAGCTCACTGACTTGGCAAGCTGCTGGCTAGAAAGCCCCAGGATCCTTGTCTCCACTTCCACCCAGCACTGGGTTATCAGGTGCATTCTACCACACCTTTTATGAAAATCTGGGGGTTGAACTCAAGTATTCATGCTTGCACAACAAGCATTTTTACTGACTTGAGTGATCTTCTTTTAAAGAAATTTATGTGTATGAGTGTATTGTCTGCATGTGTGTATGTATACCTGTGTCATGCAATGCCTGTGGACGACAGAAGAAATCCCCTGGAACTGGAGTTATGGACAGTTCTTAGCTGCTATGTGGATGCTGGTATTTGAACCCAGGTCATCTGCAAGTGCTCTTAACCACAGCCTTCTCTCCAGTCCCAGCATCCCTCCCTTTTAAAAATTATTGCCAGGAGTGGGGGCACACACCTTTAATCCCAACACTTGGGAGGTAGAGGCAGGTAGATCTCTGTGAGATCAATGCCAGTCTGGTCTACATAGGGACTTTCAGGTCAGCAAAGGCTACAGGGAGACCCTGTCTCTAAAGAACAAAACAAAACAAAAATTTCTATTTGTGTGTATGAAGTGTGTGTGTGTGTGTGTGTGTGTGTGTGTGTGTGTGTGTATGGGCACACATGCCACAGCAAGTGTGTGGGGTCAAAGGACAACTCTGTGGAATCAGTTCTCTCCTTCCACCTTTACATGGATTTTGGGGATTGAACTAAGGTTCTCAGGCTTATGTGGCAAGCACTTTACCTGCTGAGTCATCTGGCCATCCTCTACTTTAAAAAAAAAACTTTGTGCAGGGCTGGAGAGATGGCTACTGACTGCTCTTACAGAGGACCTAGGTTCCCAGCACCCATACGGGAGCTAACAACCATCCATACCTCCAGTTCCAGGGAATCTGATACCCTCTTCTGGCCTCCACAGGCACTGCACAACATGGGTGCAAATACATACATGCAGGCAAAACACTCATACACATAAAATTTTAAAAATAGTGGCCAGGCGTGGTGGCACATGCCTTTAATCCCAGCACTTGGGAGGCAGAGGCAGGTGGATCTCCGTGAGTTTGAGGCCAAGCCTGGTCTACATGAGCTCCAGACCAGCTGGGGCTATAGGGAGACCCTGTCTCCAAAAGACCAAAAATAATAATAAAAAAAAACTTTGTGCATGTGTATGATGTGTGTATATGATGCTTGTGTTCAGGTGCACATGTACATAGGTGTGAGGGTCAAGACAAACCTTGGATGTCAGTCCTCACCTCCTACCTTGTTTGAGACAGGGTCACTTATGGTTTGCTGCTGCATATGCCAGGCTAGTGGCCATGAACTTCCAGGGGTTCTGCTGTCTGCTCCCATTTTGCCGAAGAATAAAGAGCTATACTACAGCCTCCAACTTTAGGTGGGTTCTGGAGTCTGACCTCAGACACTCATGACTGCATGACAAGCCCTTTACCCACCTATGTCATCTCCTCAGCCCTACCTCCTTTTTTTGAGACAAGGTCTCATGTAGTCCAGAGGCTGGACTTGAATTGCTGACCCTCTTACCTCCATCTCCCAATGCTGAGATTACAGGCATGCGCCACTATGCTCAGCTTTATTACTTTCTAAAATCCCAGCTTTGTGATCATCATGGTACCATTTCCTATCTTCTCCCACCTGTTACTTCATCCCTAAGCACACAATAAAAAGGTTTCAATTATTTTATCTTCTCTTTCATTTCTTTAATCACTATGAAAATCTAAATGAAACATATAAATTCACATAAACACAAATGGGATATTATGGAAATTATACAACGTTATGCTTTTTCCACTTAGCAATATATTGTGAACACCTTTCTATATCAGTAAATACATAAGTACATTGTGATTTTTATTGGGACAGGCTATATGTGGCCCTGACTGGTCTTGTACTAAGTGCTAGGATTATAGGTGTGTTCCCCCAAACTTGGCTGCAAGTTATGATTTTTTTTTTTACTGGTAACAAATAGTCTAATATATTCATGCAGTGTGATTTCTATATAACCAATCAGCTATTGTTGCATATTTTTTCTTTAAATTTTTTTGGTTTTGAGAGTTTCATTTAGCCCAGGCTAGTCTATGTAGCTGAGAATGACCTTTAATTATGATCCTTCTGCCTCAATTCTCCTGAGTGCTGCGATTATAGGCTTGTATCATCATGCCCAGTTTTATGCAGTGTGTGGGGTCAAACCCAGGGCCTTGTGCATGCTACAGGAGCATTGTACCAAATGAGCTATACCCCAAGCCCCTCAAATTTTTCATTATAGTTATTTGCTTTGTGTGTGGGTGCATTACTATGGGCACACATGTGGAGGTCAGAGGAAAACTTGCGGATGCTGGTTCTCGCCTTCTACCATGTGGGTTCTGGGAACTGAATTCAGGTCATCAGTTTTGGTGGCCAGTGCCTTTTCCTATCGAGCCATCTCGCCAGGCCTTTGCACATTTTTTTCTATCATGAACAATACCTCAGTGCAATAGTTAGGTGCATCCTGCTCCCACCACCAGCAGTGTATAAAAATGCCTACATGCCTACAACTTTGCAATAAGATAAACGTATTTCCCAATGTTTGCCAACTAGACAGGTAAAAACTGGTATGATTCGTGTTTTTGTTCTTCAAAAAGACTTTATTTTATATGTATGAGTGCTTTACCTGCATATATATAAGTGTACCACATGTGTGTGCAGTGTCCACAAAGGCCAAAAGAGACTTCCCTGGAACTATCATACAGGTGTTAGGAACTGCACCTGGGTCCTCTGCAAGAGCAGCAACTGCTCTTAGCTACTGAGCCATCTCTCCAGGCCTATAATTCATGGTTAAATGTACCCTTTTATGACTGCCCAGTTAGGGTTGATGCTTTTCATGTGTTACTGAAAGACTTTACCATTTCCAGTTCCTCTCGGAGGGCACAAATAGCTCTTTCTCGACTGGATACCAACTCCTCCAAATACTGGTATCTCAGCTTTTTTCTGGCCCGGCACTCCCTTGCGCTCTGCCGGCTCCTCTCAAGCTTTGCTTTCAAATCGATTTTGGCTGGCTTCCGGCCTCGTTTGCCCGGCTTCTTTACTTTGCCTCCAACCACCTTTGGCAAGAGAGGAGACATAAATTTTCCTTTTAGCTCTCTTTATAGGAAAGCAACTGACTGCCTATTAACAAACAGATTGTTCAAAACAAGTAAATAAAGGCTACAGAACTAAGAAAGCAGAATCATGTCCCTTCAAATTTTTTTGATACTTTTGATATCACAAATGTGAGATAAAATGTGATGTAAGCTTTTACTATTCCTTCATGCTTCTTCAATAATCAAGTTTAACTAGTTTAACATTAAATTTTATAAATCATATGGATATGGACAATAAACTATATAACTTTTATTCAATTTTAATTTTATGTGGATGTGTTTTGCCTGCATGTATGTAAGTGTACCATATGCACAGAATGCCCATGGAGATCAGAAGAAGGCATAAGATTCCTTGGGACTAGAGTTTTAGACTGTTGTTAGCCATTATGTGGGTTCTGGAAACTGAACCCGGGTCCTCTCCAAGAGCAGCAAGTGCTCTTAACCACTGAACCAACTCTCTAGGTCCTAGTTTAATTTTAAAATTATGTGTTTAGTGAAGCAGGTCATGCATGTGGGAGTAGCTGCCTGTGGAGGCCAGAAGAAGGTGCTCTAAGCATTGAGCCACCATCTCTCCACCCCTATAATTTTATTGCCTTGAGAAAATCACATTAAAATAAGTTAATATTCAAAATTTTAAATTCATCATGATTGCAGTTTTACAAAACAATATACAGAAGCTAACTGAGTCAATGAGGACTTCTGTGCTGGTGCTTTGATCTCATCTGCATTTTCAAGATTTTTAAAATTCACATTTAGACAAATATATAATACCTATATTAAATTACATGTATATGTAAGCTAATATACATTCCAAGGAATTTAACTATAAAGTCCCTCATCAAATTTACTGAGCCCAAAGGAGTACACAGGAAGTCCCAGAAATCTTCAGGAGTAATTCCCTCCTGTCTTTAGAAGCAGATAATTACAACCCTAGACTGTCTTGGATTTCTACTTGCCACACCGGTATCACCAGCATCCTCTTTATCTGCTATTCACTTACTGCCTAGGCAAAATTGTTAGGTGACTGGCAAAGTAATTTAATCTTCCTCACTGTTCAGCTCTGGACCTTCTCGAGCATTTGTACAAGATATACCATAATGAGGAAGAGACAATGAAGTTGTTTTGTTTTTGTCTTTTTAAGACAGGGTCTCCCTGTAGCCCAAGCTGGCCTATATAAACTAGGCTGGCCTCCATCATATAGAGATTGACCTGCTTATGCCTCCCCAGTGCTAGGATTAAAGGTGAGCACCATCACAAATTGCTGAGATGAAGTTTTAAACACATGAATTAAGCTTACACATCAAGCAGATGTTCTGAAAAGCAGTCACCTTGGAAGAGGTACACTTATTCTAGCAAGGCCACTCTTCAAACCTTTTTTGGAAAGTCCTGTTGGATCCCATTGTTACCAACCACAACAAAATATCTCATTACTTTAGAGCTACACTGTTATTCCTCAAGTATCTCCAAAATGTGACTGACCACTTCATTTATTTAACCAGACTCTGAAAACACCCATAAAGAAAAGTTAGAGATGAATATGAATATAGCTCAGTGACAGAGTGTGGGGGTGGGGGTAGGGGGGCTCAGTGGTAAAGCCCTACCATGTATGAACCCTAGGTTCAATCCTCAGTCCCTTTCCCCACCCAAGAAAATCACCCTCAATAATACATGTTGTATACCCTCAGTGTACTCAATTGCTTTAAAGGCATTTCTAAACAAGAAGATGTAAAATTAATACTGGCTAATCAATCACTGGAATAAATGTAAAAACCTTCATAGGTAACAAAACTGAAACTAAAGGACTGCCAGACATGGTGATTGCAGGGTAGTAAACCCAGTATGAGAGAGGCTGAGGCAGGAGGATTGCCTCAAGTTCAAAGTTTACCTAAGCTACAGAATGAGAGCAAAAGCCCCTCACCCTCAATTATATGAGAGAGAGAGAGACAGAGACAGAGAGAGAGACAGAGACAGAGACAGAGACTGGGCGCCATGGCACATGCCTGTAATCTCAGCACTCAGACTGAGGCAGGCAGATAAGCCAAAAGCCCCTCACCCTCAATTATATGAGAGAGAGACAGAGACAGAGACAGAGACAGAGACAGAGACTGGGTGCCATGGCACATGCCTGTAATCTCAGCACTCAGACTGAGGCAGGCAGATAAGCAGTTTGAAGGTAGTCTGGGCTTCCTTCATAGTGAGATCTTATTTCAAAAAGAATAAAAGAAGGGGCTGGTGAGATGGCATAGAGGCTAAAAGTGCTTGTCACACAAACCTGATGGCCTGAGTTTGATGCCTGGATTCCTTGGTGGGGTAAGCGAAAACAAACTCCTGAAAGCTGTCCTCTGACCTCCGCAAGCACACCATGACAGACGTGTGCTCAACCATTCTCACTCCCCAACCCCTCTCTCTCCAATATTTTTTTTGACAGCATTTCCCTAGTCCCAGACCACCTGGAACTCACTATGTAGACCAGGCTGGCCTTGAATTCACAGAGATTTGCCTGCCTCGGCCTCCTGAGTGCCGGGATTAAAGGTGTGTGCCACCATGCCCTGCTTTTCTTGATTAACTTTGCTTCAGTAATGTGATGGTTTGAATGAGAATGTCCTCCATAGGTTCCAAGTATTTGAACACTCTGTCCCCAGCTGGTGGCACTGTTTTGAGAGGGTTAGGACCTGTAGCCTTGCTGTAAGAAGCAGGTCACTGGGGGGTGGGCTCTAGCTTTTCCCTATTTTGAGTTTGTCTCTTTCTGCTTCTCCATAAGCCCAAAAAACTCTTCCTTCTATAAACTGCCTTGGTCAAGGTGTTTTTTTGTTGACTTTTTAAAAAATATTTTATTATTTTTATTTTATGTGTATGAGTGTACTGCCTTCATGCTGAGCCATTTCTGCAGCCCGAGTCAAGGTGTTTTTAATCACAGCAACAGAAAAGTAACTGATACAAGTAATGAGCTTCAGTTTTTCCTTCTGGAACCAGCCAAAGTTTGATGAGTTAAGTATGCCAGTTTTCAAGAGAGTTGTTAATATCAGAGGGTCACTGTAAATCTAGAGCATTATTATATGTGAGAGTACGTTGTAAAAACAAAGTATTATACAAACGTAGGTTAGTATACTAGTTGGTTCAACAGCTAAACTTTATTTCATAAACCATAAAAACTGAGGAGCAGAGAAAGCAAGTTGATCAGGAACCTGAAGTAAAAGTGAAATCCTCTCCACAAATTCCTTAAATATCTCTGGGCCAAAAAAAAAAAAAAACCCAAAACAAAACAAAACAAAAAAACAAAAAACAAAACCCTCCCTCAAAACAAACACAAAAACTTTTTTTTTTTTTTTACCAATTCTTAAAACTCATAGTCATATAGCTCCTCTGCTCTCTACTCATATTTATTAAGCAAGGAAGCATTCATTTTAATATGCTTGAGTAAAAATACTGATTTGGGGACTGGAGAGATGGCTCTTGCACAGGATCTGAATTAGGTTTCCAGCATCCACATGAACAGCTCACAACCACCTGTAACTCCAGCTCCTAGTGGATCTGGCACTTCTGGCCTCTTTGGGCACCTTGTCTCCCATGGTCATACCTCCACACAGATACACAAAATTTTAAAACAATAAAAATAAATTTTGTAAGTACTGATTTTTTTTTTCTTACTCTTTCTGTGGGTTTATTTTTTTTAGAGATAAAGTCTCATTATGTAATCCTAGCCAGTCAGGATGACTATGTAGACCAGGATAGCTTCAAACTCAAAGTGATTCTCCTGTCTCTGCTAGGATTTATAGACCTATGCCTGTACATTTTTATGCACCAAAAACAATGATACCAACATTTAAAGAATTAGCACTTAGGCTGGGCATGGTGGCCCGATCCCAGCAATTAGGAGGTAGAGTCAAGAGGGCCAAGAGTTCAAGGCCAGGCTTTAAGGCCAGCCTGGGCTATATGAGGCCCTGTCTCAAAAAATAAGACTAACCAAACAAAAACAAAGAATTAACATTAACCCTTCACAAATAAGAAATGGAAGAGGAAAGTACATTCTAGCTCATTCTATGAAGCTAATATTTACCCAATACCTAATTGTAAGAAAACTACAGACAGATCATGTTGTGAACATAGATGCAAAAACTGCCAACAAAACACTAGGAAAAGTGAGGCCTGGTAGGCCACACCTATAATCTTAGGACTCAGGAAGCTGAAGCAAGAAGATCTTATGCTTAAAGCTGCCTGGGTTACATGGTGGGACCCTGACTCCAAATCTATAACAACAAGGAGCTGAGGATGTAGTTCAGTTGGTAGAATGCTTGCTAAGCATGAGTTCAATACCCAGCATCACGTAAACTGGATGTGTTAGCTCATAACTGTAATACCAATTATTTGGGAAGTGGAGGCAGGAGGATTAGACATTTATAATCATCCTTGGCTACATAGTATGAAGTCAGTCCTGAAGACGTGAGGTCCTATGTCAAAAAGGAGGGGTGTATTGGAGAGACAGCTCAAAGGTTACAAGCACTTGCACAATCATGAGGACCAGAGTTCAGATCCCAGCACCCACATGTCAAGCTGAGCATCTGGTATATAAATCTCTGTAACCCTAGCTCTGTGGGAGGCAGAAATAGTAAGATCACTAGAATTTGCTGGCTTCTAGCCTAGCAGAGAAAACACAAATCCCAGGTTCAAAGGCATAAGTGGAGAGTGACATAGAATATTCACATGTATAGCTATACACATGTGCACATACACACAAATTTTTAAAAAGAACAAGCCAGGTGTGGTGGTGCACGCCTTTAATCCCAGCACTCAGAAGGCAGAGATTGAGGAGGCAGAGATTGAGGAGGTTGTGAGATTGAGGCCAGCCTGGTCTATGTAGTGAGTTCCAGGTCAGATGGGAGACCCTGTCTCAAAAAGACCAAAAAAAAAGGGGGTGAGTGGCTGAAGAGATGGCTCAGTGGTTAAGAACACTGGCTGTTCTT